CTTGGATCTCCTTTTCTAACTGACCTGACTGAGTTGTCATCCTGTAATGTTAGGGACCTAGCCAAGTTCATAGAACTGTCAGGTTGGTTTTCCTTTACCTAATAGGGGAGTCGTTACCTTTCTTCGGCGTTAAATGTATACTGATTAAAATCTATATACAAATAACGTAACTCCTGTGGTACCACAATGGGCCTTTATTTGTGCTTAAGTGGGCTTTTTGGGATACAAGGCCGCCACTCCAACCTATACCTATACCTATATATAGTTAATGTAATTTGTTGTTTGATGTTTATGTAATTTTTTGAGACTAGTTTCTGGTTGACCTAAAAGGTGTTTATTAGTTTGGAAATACATTATTTTTTTTAATAGATACTTGGTTCTCTATTCTCAATTTTTCATATGTACTTTTATTGATAGAATTATGATTTCGACATTAACGTCATCAATCAGTTAGCTCTATCAATTAATTAATCAATTTGTATTGTATGTAAAGACATATAGTTTTTTAAACTTCACCTTCTTGTAATACGGATTTGATTTTTAACAGGATATGTGTACAAGAACTATTTTTTTAATTATAAAAATTAAATTACTATATGATTTTGACAGCTAAAAGAGGGGATGGTGTTTTCTTTTTGAATATACTGTATATCTATCTGTATGAAGGGTATCTCCTGACTTATTAAAAAGTATTATTTATATTGCATATTGAAGATATGTTTTCTTAAATAATTCCTAAACTTTGAAAAAATGAAATTATTAAAAAATTCAACTAATTGATTTAAGTATAAATTAATCCATTTAATTTATTATTGTGCGCTACCATATTTAAATTAGAAAAATTTTTAATGAATTGAATAAAATACATTATAAAAATGATATTCCAAAAAAAAAGATACTTGATTTTAACCGGTTGTCAATGTTATCAGAGTATTGACTGCAGTTCGAGTAAGTACTGTGAGAATTAATACATAAGTATTGCTTTCGAGACAAGTTTTTTAAATCGTCGAATCGTCTAGCAATCGTAATTTCAGCATCAATATGAAATCCTTGATATGGGAATATAAATACAGTTTCAAATATTCATGATATGTAAAAATGTGAATATTAATGACATATTTAAAGCATATATTTTTAAACAACACTATTACATAATTAAATACTAAAATATATAATACATATATATATACATAAGAATGAAATCATATATCGCTACAGATTTACGAAAAAAACATTCACTTTCCTTATTAAAATTTATGAATGTTGAAACATGATATAGGCGAGCTTTTAAATGCTATTTTGTAGCACTTGGATAGTGCTACAGTAAAGATAGTAGTATCTATATTAATCTAGGCCACACTTTAATAAAATTGGTCAACTGACATATGCAAAGAATATTTTAATAACAATCGAAGAATTTTAGCTCAAATTTATTAGATCCTTTTTTGAAGTGAATCGATTTTATAATGTAAAATTATTTTATTATTTTATTATATAAAATAAAATTATTTTTTTAATTATTATATAAAATGATTTTTGTGTTTTTAATTTTAAAATGAACGTCAAAGATTTTATTTTGTATACAATATAAATTATAATATAAAATTCATATGAAACATTTGTATATATACACTCATATTGTTGTAATATATGATATGTACATATGTATGCAATAATATGCCCAAGTATTTCATGTCATTACCTCTTTAACCAATTAACCAATTTCAAACAAAGTTTTTATGACTTAAGAATATCAATTATCTCAAAAAATACAATTTTAGTCATTTTCGACGACTTTTAACATCAATTAAACAAATTATAAATACAATTATAAAAAGTTTAGAGTTCAATAAAATTTAATTTATATGGAGTAAAATTATAAAAGGAAATCGAAGTATTAACATACAAGTACAACAATTTATAAAAGGAGATAAATAGATTGTTCCTTCTTGACGCATATAATAGGTTAATCAAGAGTGGTGGAGATTTCCAGTCCAGTAGCTGGCATGTGTTCAACTTCGAAGTGATTCGACTGAAGTTCTGCCTTTCGTTTGTCTTAGCTTAGATTTCCCTAAAGATTAATTACTGTATATCCTTAGCTTTCACTTTTTTTCCTACTTGTACGAAGTAGAATTGACTGCGATAAGCCTAACTGAAATTATATATTTGGTTGAGGGTATCTAAATCCGTAATAAATATATGATTTATTATACTTGGCAATACAAATTTGTATTATTAAATTTGGAATATTATTATTTTTGAAACCAAATTCAATTGTTCCAAAAAAGTCTTTCAATTAAATTAAAAATTTTATGGCACAAATTTAAAATTGAAACTAAAACTCTTTCAAAATGTTTTTAATTAAAATGAGTTCAAATAAAAATTAAAATAAATCAGATTTAACAAAGCCAACAAACCTTGAACGAGCAAATTTCTTGAAAATTTATTTTTGAGCAAAAAATTGAAAGAAACTCATTTTCAACATAAATTTTGACACACATTTTCGACAAGAGGCAGACAGCAAATGTGCCACATTCGACCAATAAATTAAAAAAGTTCCATAAAAAATCAACGTTAAGAACCTTAAAATCTACGGTAAATGAGTTTATTGTTTGCTGATGTAAAAAAGTACCTTAAACTGAACAGCAATTGCCGCAACGGTAGCAGCAACAACAGCAACAGCAACAACGCCAGCGACAACGACAGCAACGAAGCATTGCCATTGCTGAGCATAATTACCAAAATTTACATATTTTGAGCTGCAGAACAGACAATTAAACGTCACGTAAAGAAGGGGATTAGCTTGTTAGTGCGTTTCTTGTCTATAGTTTGTATCTTTTAAGGTTTGTGGGTTCTTGTGCTAAAAGACAATTTCCGACCTTAATGCATACTTTTTCGGTTTCGGTTTTCAATTGTAGTTTTGTGATTTATGTTTATTTTTGTGATTTTTATTGCTGGATGTTATCTAACTGGCTTTAATCTGGTAATAAAAATCAAGTTGAATCGACAGGCTCTTGATTTGGCCTTACGCTGATAGTGAAGACTTGTAATAAGACTTCTTAAAAAATATTAAATAGGAGCTTGCACTTAACTGAATAAAAAAAATAAGAGTGGTATACATTCAAAGAGATTTTACTAAAAAAAAAATTACATTTTGCAAAAAATTTAATTAATAATTAAATCTCGTAAAATCGTATAGTTGGTATAATCTACCTTAGCGTATGTTGAAGTCCTAAAAGAGTAGGGTGTTATAGAAATAATAGAACGATTGTGAGTTATAGATGGTGGAAAATTTTTTAAAAGAGGTGAGTGAAGGATGTGTTTGCTTGTAAAAGAAAAAAAAGTTAAAAGACTTAAAAGTTTGTATTTTTGAAGTTTGTAGTCTTAGAATAGCAATCGCCAGAGAGTTAATTTAAATTTGCTATGAATCCCTCTATGTATATTAATAAGTATATAAGGCCATTCTACCTCCATTGTCACCTTATATTCCCTAAAGATGATGCAACAAAAGGGTTTTCCCGTAATGCATTTTTTAAAATAAAATAAAAAAGTAAATAAATAAAATAAGTTTAAATCTGTAGAAGATATAGAAGGTACCATCCTCCTCTGCAGCGATTGTTATTAAAATAACTAATCATATTTTTTTAAACTGGGCCAAAGCTTAAAAGGTTGGTATCTATCAAAAATATTCCATCAAAAATCCGTTTTTTACGATGATGATAATCTGTGTACTATAGAACAAAAATGTTTATCTATGAGTAAATTAAAGAATTCTTAATTGGAACCTTTTGTTGTATTGCAAACTAATGTCAGTATATGATTTTCCCTTAAAACTGGCTTATGATGCATTCAATAACTGGTTTATATAACCAATGAAACAAAGGAAGGTTTTTACAACTTTCCTAGTCTTTTTACTTTTGTTTATTAAATCATAATACAAATCACTTAGTTATATTACAAATTGATGATAGAACTGATGAAATTTATTTAATAATTAAATCTCGTAAAATCGTATAGTTGGTATAATCTACCTTAGCGTGTATTGAAGCTCTAATAGAGTAGGGTGTTATAAAAATAATAGAACGATTGTGGGTTATAGATAGAGGAAACATTTTTAAAATGGGGGAGTGAAGGATGTGTTTGCTTGTAAAAGAAATAAAATTTAAAAGACTTAAAAGTTTGTATTTGTAGTTTGTAGTCTTAGAATAGCAATCGCCAGATAGTTTATCGAAATTTGCTATAAATCCCTTTATGTACATTAATAAGTATATAAGTACAAGGCCATTCTACCTCCATTGTCACCTTATATTCCCTAAAGATGATGCAACAAAAGGGTTTTCCCGTAATGCATTTTTTAAAATAAAATAAAAAAGTAAATAAATAAAATAAGTTTAAATCTGTAGAAGATATAGAAGGTACCATCCTCCTCTGCAGCGATTGTTATTAAAATAACTAATCATATTTTTTTAAACTGGGCCAAAGCTTAAAAGGTTGGTATCTATCAAAAATATTCCATCAAAAATCCGTTTTTTACGATGATGATAATCTGTGTACTATAGAACAAAAATGTTTATCTATGAGTAAATTAAAGAATTCTTAATTGGAACCTTTTGTTGTATTGCAAACTAATGTCAGTATATGATTTTCCCTTAAAACTGGCTTATGATGCATTCAATAACTGGTTTATATAACCAATGAAACAAAGGAAGGTTTTTACAACTTTCTTAGTCTTTTTACTTTTGTTTATTAAATCATAATACAAATCACTTAGTTATATTACAAATTGATGATAGAACTGATGAAATTTATTTAATAATTAAATCTCGTAAAATCGTATAGTTGGTATAATCTACCTTAGCGTGTATTGAAGCTCTAATAGAGTAGGGTGTTATAA